GATGGTCTTTAGTAAATCATTAATATACATATTAAACAACAAAGGTGATAGAAGACATCCCTGTTTGAGCCCTCTGCTCACAGGAAACCATGAAGTATAAATGGGATTAATGTGCACAGAGCATGTATGTTTGTATTGTCCAAGGGCGTAAGTTTCGGCCCTCGGATGGTAGCTCAGGATGATGACGGAAGACAAAACTCAGGGGTGAAGTTTAGACGACAGCAGCCATATTTATTGTTGATGGTTGAAATGAGTCGAAAAGGTACATGTTGATAATAACGTGACAGAACGCACATCGGGACCGAGTGGCCAATGTTCCCGGATGGGAGAACCGTTCTGTCACTTACCTTCTGGCTGTCTCTCTAGGCTGTCTTAGGCTGTCTTCCTGACTGACCAGGTCAGTCGGGTTTTGTGGAGCGAGGTATTACGTAACGTGTGGCAAGGTCATTGTCCCACGTGTAAGTATATACGTAAGATCCGGCGACGTTAGGAGGTGTTGATTAAAATTTATAGATAGCGCTGGAAATTAAGGGTCCTGCCCGGACGGGCTTATGATAAGCCCGGACGGGCTTATGATAAGAGGGGAACGCCGATTGTTTGCTGAATATATTAAACAGACAAAGGGCATAGAATTTCGGTGCACTTGGAAACATATTGAACCAGTTAGGTATTTAGATAAATGAAATGTTAAATAAAAGTATTGAAATGGTTTGCACTATAACAGTATGTTGGCGACTTAATGAATTGTGTGATCAGGCTCGGTTTCTTGGTTGATTGCATGTCATCGTGTACCGAAGGCATGGGTCGTTGCTCGCAATATCAACCACAAGATTGTCTGGTCCAGACTCAATTATTTACAGGCCGCCATAAGTTACCGGATTATTTGAATGCGTCGTGAAACAACAAATCAACATAGATGCATGTTTTGCTCATGTAAAAAGTTATTTAAACAATTTTATATAAGTCTGTGGTGAGTGAGTTGGGATTAAAGCGGCATTTGCGATAGGTACTACCGCACTCACAGTGGGCGGAGCTTGCACAGTGATCGGACAGGTCAATATGACGTCATGATAACATACAAATGTCAATCGTGGTTAGGGAATGGTGCCCTACGAAGTTGCAGAAATTCGTCGATTCGAAAACAGCGCTACAAATACTTTTAGGCTGAGCTGAATAGCCGAGGTGTTTGATCCTAGATACTTGGAATTGAAGAAACTGATATTAAACGTAGCAGCGAGGAAGGATTGGTGTGGACAAACGAGAAGTGATGCAAGATTGAGCTTTATTACTCGTGCGCGAAGTGTGTGTGTGTGTGTGTGTGTGTGTGTGTGTGTGTGTGTGTGTGTGTGTGTGTGTGTGTGTGTGTGTGTGTGTGTGTGAATGGGGGACGGGGGACGGGGTCTGGCGGCACCCGTTCGTGTGTAGGGTGGTAACACCAAGCCAGTATGGGCAAGAACTGTGTTTCGTGCATCTACTGACATTGGTTTCAGATACAAAGAGCTTTGAAGCAGTTCAGTATTTACTAATACTAATTTCCACTTTGTTTTCAGTCAATATATCGTCTTTCTAACTCCCATTCAGAGTAAATGTCATTGTTTCTTTTCAAACCCTTGTTTGCTTCAGGATTGATGAGTCTGGTAGGCAGAAAACATCATTGGATACTGTAATGTTGAATGCCTTTTGGACTAGGCCGCAAGAAAATTGCCTCATTCTTGAAAATATGGGTGGTGCTTAATGAAGTTCCAGGTGTAAAGTTCGTACAACTTTGGCGGCCGTTTATTATACAGATTATGCTATTCTGAACAGATACATACACTTTCATTTAGAAACAAAAGCAAACCGAGACCATTTAAACAGTAAAACAAGGTTCAGGTTGTATTGTCATGTAATAGTCACGTGCACGAAAGTAGTTCCAATATGGATTCCTAACCAGTGCCCATTCGTCACCACTCGCCCCTTTCCGTAACCTGCAAGAAGACTCGTCTCCCAATCGATGAATGTTATGTGCGAGAATACGACAAACCAGTCAGAATGCGCGTATGATTTCAAGTTCTTCGTCAAAGAATCCCTCAGAAACAATTTTTGATTTAACATTTTTCTTACATCTAAAAACCCAAGACACAGTTAAATGTGGTCAATCACACTGTATAATTCCGCATGTCCCGATGTGCTTTAATTTGTATCTAAAATATATATAATATATGGGGAAATATATGTGAACCATTAGGCAACGAGTTGACAATTGTTTTAGGTATGCTCGTTTGCGCTAATACGGAACCCGGTCGCAAAAATGGCCATGAGAGGTGCACGAGTCGCTATTCGGCTTGTCCCGGAATAACACGAGTTGGTCACGAATGACCAGTGCCGACCGAGATCATACTGAACTGAGGTGAGCCGAATGATACAAACTGCATGAAAGGTGCTTCATCGGCTTGAATAGGACACTGCAGGTGTATACACAAATGAGCTGTTATGTAAGTAGGGTATAAGGCGCTGGGGGTGGGACAACATCCTATAAGTACCGTTATTCAATGAGCATGCGGTAGTGAAGATTATCAGTTGACGGATCAACAATTGCCGCAGGTCACGTCTCATCCGGGCATTGAATAGCTACAGACTGACCAACGGCGACAGCGGATATTAGGACAAGTTGAGTACATGATTATGAGCGTAGTGTATCAATAACACAGACGTAAATATAAAGTGAGTGAGTGAGTGAGTTGGGTTTAACGCCGCTTTTAACAGTATTCCAGTTATATCACGGCGTGTCAACTGAATGTGGGAGGAAAGCCCGAAGTGATGCAGGTCTCAGACGCTTACCACTTCGGTGAAACCCATGAGTACGGGTATGGTGCTGACAAACCTAGAAACATAATCGGGGCGAACCGGGATTCGAACCCACAATCATAGGTTTCTGGCGTGCCTAAGGGACGCAACTCTGCACAGCGAATCGCGACGCCTTTGACAACTGGGCCACCCGGGTTGTCAGCACCATACCCGTGCTCGTGGGTATCACTTCTTTATCTTTGTCACGACGTTTCAGAGTCACTTCTAGCTCCTTCATCAGATGCAAAGTCGTGACAAAGAATGAAAGTAGTTGCTATCCATAAAAAGTGTCATGTATTAATATAACATGATGCCTCTGAAATCAACTAAAAAGGTAGTTTTCTGTTAATGTCATATCTAATGCCTCACAGTAAACAATGGTATGTCTATATGAGCACAGTGTGTGGGTGTGTGGGTGGGGGGTCAGGGTGGAGGCAAGCATTTGGGTGGTGGGTGGAGGCAAGCATGGAGTACCAGGGACATATTATTCCCAGTCATCCCTCCTAGTTAAAAACAGATAAATGTTACCGAGTTGATGAGAACTAGTCCACCAGCAGTAACATTGACCAAGTTCATGAAATTATATAATGTCAACGCCAGAAAATAACCAGTTTCGATTATCCGCCGAAACATATTCCATTTGGTATAAAAGGCACAAAGCGGTGAAAATGACAAGCATGGAACACTGAAAATCAGTGATGACACCACAGGGCCCACCTTCACAAAGCGATCTTAGCGCTGAGACTATTGTAAGCCTATGTTAAAGTATGGGAGTTAAGATCAGTTTATCGCTAAGATCGCTTTGTGCTAGTGGGCCCTGGGCCCCGTTCCACAAAGCGATCTTAGCGCTAAGACTATTGTAAGCCTATGTTAAAGTATGGGAGTTAAGATCAGGTTAGCGCTAAGATCGCTTTGTGCTAGTGGGCCCACTGTTGGCGAAAAGGGTAAGCATGTCCTGCCCTACCGGGAGCGCCCGCCTTTCACACAAATTGAGTAAAATTGTTTGTTGCCAAACGCGGCAAAACATGTTTTGATGGAGTGACCGAAACAAATGAATCGTCAACCCGAAATTTAAAAAGCCGGTCACTACAACTGTTCTTTTTGTCAAAGATGGAGATAAGAGAAGCGATGCGTGGATGACGTTGGCAAATTGATGGAGTTGCCAACAAAGTCATCATAAAGCATACTGCATGCTAGATGGCATACATAGATGTGATGCTGCAAGCTTGACTGTATAACTGGAACGTCAACAACAGGAGACTTCAATACATGCATTATCAAACCGGATCCACGAAATTATTTAAGTATTATATAAATATCTAGTCACCACAGGAACATGACATATACAAATTAAGTGTTTCTTCTATATGCATTATCAAACCAGATCCACGACCTTATTTAAGTACTATGGAATGTCTGATCCGAATTCTTAGTTTGATCGTGCGTGCTTAACTCAATCATATGTTGTAACTGCATGTTTTAACACTGATGTACACGAGATCACATACAGTAGAGTGAGTGAGTGAGTATGGTTTTACGCCGCTTTTAGCAATATTCCAGCAATATCACGGCGGGGGACACCAGAAATGGGCTTCACACATTGTGCCCATGTCGGGAATCGAACCCGGGTCTTCGGCGTGACGAGCTAACGCTTTAACCACTAGGCTACCCGACCGCCCCTCATACAGTAGAGACACAAACAGTTCATACATCTGTCAGTTACAAGTTGGTCATGATCGAACGATGAAACAAGTTTTGTCAAGGGAAACTGTTATATATTGAGCTACTGCATTTCAAATAAATATTCCGTGGATCAGTATCATTTAATAAAAATGAGGATAATAATGAAAATAATTATGAAGATGATGATGCTAACAATAGAAGCAGAAGAACAACAACAGCAACAACAACAAAAACAACAACATATACGTTGATGGTCCCTCTGTCCGACACCTGGATGTTGTTTCATCGTACAACATTATTAAATTATAGCTTACAGTCTACAGGATGTAATATTCCTTTCAGTGGTAAGTGAGATGGTATCGCCGGTCTGATATACTTTTCTTTGTCGAGTGTCTATTGTTCACTTGGGAATGTAATTACTGATGGCGACTTGTTTCGCCTCCAGGGTACATGGGTGGGATAACTGTAGCCTATATAAACGAGGAGTCCACTTCTCCTCAGTAGATCGTTCTCTCCCACAAGAACCATGTACACGTGAGTAGTCCCACCCGTAATTCTCTCTATCATTGCTTCAATACCTGGTACCACAATATATGACAGATAAATATGATAACAGTCACTTGATTTTCTTTTCCGGGACCGAAATATTACAATCTAACTCGTTTCTAATAGCTCCAATGCGTTGTCCCAATCCCGCTAATCGTCATGAGAACACAAGCGTAGATCTATGTTAAAATGTGGGAGTTGTAACAATCGTCGCACTGGGATGGGTATTGTGGAACACGATCAGCGTCTTCGTGATGCTCTCACACCGCATTTCTGTTTTTATTACCCACAAGAGATCCGTGAAGATCCGACTATGTTTGTTTGTTTTGGTTTTTGTTTAACGCCGCACTCAACCGTCAAGCTATATCATGGCGGTCTCTGAATATTCGAGTCTGGACAATCAAGTGATTGACATCATGAGCATCGATCCACGCAATTAGAATACGATCATGCATCAACCAAGTCAGCGAGCCTGTCCACCCGATCTCGTTAGGCGTCTCTTACGACAAGCACTTAATTTTGAGACCCGTGTAGATCCGGGGTAGAAAAGGTCTTCAGCAACCCATCCTTGCTGCAAAAGGCGACTAACGGGATCGGGTGGTCAGGTTCACTGGCTTGGTTGCTGCATGTCATCGTATCCGAATTGCGTGGATCGATGCTCTTGATATTAAACACTGGACTGTCTGGTCCAGACTCGATTATTTACAGAGTCATATAGCTGGAATATTGCCAACAAACCAACCATAATGGCCATGGCAGATTAACTATAGTCATATGACAATCGGGTGTTCTTTAACTTCATATGCGTTGTATAATATTTGGGATATGATTTAGACAGCTTAGAACATTATATCAGCTGCATCACGACGTATCAGCTTAGTGTAAGAGCATCCCCCGGTGTGATGCAGGTCTTTACCGCCTTGAGTGAGTGCGTGAGTGAGTATGGTTTTACGCCGCTTTTAGCAATATTCCAGCAATATCACGGCGGGGGACACCAGAAATGGGCTTCACACATTGTACCCATGTCGGGAATCGAACCCGGGTCTTCGGCGTGACGAGCGAACGCATTAACCACTAGGCTACCCGACTGCCCCTTACCACCTTGATGACATCTGGACACTAGATCTCTCTGTCATTCTCTCTACACTGACCATCACGTGTCTGAATGCATGAATAACAGACAGATCTGGATAAAAGAGTGTGCCTTGTTCAACGCCACTGTGAACAGTTTTTTCAGTTATATCACGGCGAGTTAGCTTGGTGTGGGAGGAAAGCCCTAGCGAGTATGGATTTACGCCGCTTTCAGCAATATTCCAGCAATATCAAGGCAGGGGACACCAGAAATGGGCTTCACACATTGTACCCATGTCAGGAATCGAACCCGGGTCTTCGGCGTGACGGGCGAACGCTTTAACCACTAACTTCTTTCAGTGGCATTTAGAAGTTGGTGTGATGAAGAAAGACAAGTTCTATGGATGAACAACTTCTTTATTGTAATTAGTGCGACGTTTCGGTGTAGATCCTAACACCTTTATCAAGCATCACTTAGGATCTACACCGAAACATCGCACTAATTGTAATAAAGAAGTTGTTCATCCATAGAGCTTTAACCACTAGGCTACCCGACCACCCCGAGGAAAGCCCGAAGTAATGTATATTTCAAACGTTAACAACGTGTGTGAAACACACGAGAACAGGCATGTTGCTGACAAACCTTAAACCATAATCAGGGCGAACGGGGATTCGAACCCATGATCATACGTTTCTTTCATACCAAAGGGTGCAAATTATGACGACCCCGCCACCCGTCACCCCCGACACTGTCCTCTTTATACATGCGTGACGTCTGTTGCAGATTCCTGCTGCCCCTTGCGGCTGTGATCTCGACGACGGTAGCGGCATCCAACTACACCCTCCTCAACACCTGGCCCGGCGGTTTCCAGGCGGAACTATGCATCACCAACAAGATGAACGTCGTCTGTGGCTGGAGAGTCGCCATAGATTTCAATCCCAAACTGTCTGTGCTGGATGTAAGTATTTACAATTCTGTTCCTTCATCTTCCAGTCTCCGACGTCGAATTTGTTTGAATTGTAGCTATGTTAACAAAATGTATCTCTTCACAGATTAAATGTATAGCTTAGAGAACCAACATGTATATGGTATGGTATTGTTTTCCGCTACACAACCTACACTCTTAAAAAAAGGAAAGCACGGGTAGACTTTTAGTAAATTTATTGTACCTAATAAAGTCGATATGTTTATTTTAATATCATAGATACAAATATGAATTTTTGGATCTCGAAAGTCACATGTTGTCGTTGTACAAAGGTATTGAAAACTGTTCATTGTCATGTCACATAAGGCCACAAGGTCAAGCTGAACTCAGTATCTCGTGTGACCGCCCCGGGCAGAAATCACGGCTCTGCATCTCCTCGGCACTGACTGGATAACTGTAGGAATTCTGTAACACTTTGGCCAGTTGTGGGAATGTCTGCGGCGTGTTCTGATGTTAACGTACACGTCTATCGAGTTCCCCCCAGAGGTGTTCGATTGGGTTGAGATCTGGAGATCTCGATCGTGATTCATCGCTAGACCACACCCGTCTCCAGCTTCTCAAATTCCAAGGCTGTAAAGCATGGCACCAACGCAAGCGTCGCTGTTGATGGATCTTTTGGAAAACAAGGACGGTAACTGCTCTTCTGGGTCGGATTCCAGCCTCGGGAAGATGGTTCCTGACAGTCTGGTCCGATATCTTCCTCAAACCAGGGATGCGTCCTGCAGTCTACGTAGCTGTGGCATTGGTAACTCTTGGTCGGCCGGTTCTAGGTTCTCTTCTCGTTGAAGTGGCCCGCAACTGAGGACTTCGATTCCCCTCTTTGGATACGTCCTATGGCGATGGTCCGATCGGCAGCGCTGAGTCTCGGCATTTTCGAACTTGAAAAACAACTGAATGACAAATTATTGGCTTATGCTTGCCTTTTCATTGCCACTACCACGAGTTTCGAATGCCATAACTTGCACGTGCATTTTGCTTTACTGTTTTCCTCCATGACATTTTTGAACAAGTGTGAAAACAATGCCTTTTAAGACGTTGCAAATCGACAATGGCTGCGTTTTGACGCACCGTTTGTCGAATATCAGGCCACCAGCGTTTTCCAACAACATATATCCAATTTATATATCGGATTTCTTGTGTCGTCAGCTTCAATGAACTTCATACTACATGTGCGTTTCTTTTTTGAAGAGTGTACATCCGTTATAAAACGCTACGGTATATGGTATTTATAATGTACTATATGACCTTAGCAACAAAAATAACGATCTCGTAACCGATGTACCAACGGTATTGCTACATAATCTATAGTGTACTATGTAGCTATATAATCTATAGTGTACTATGTTGCTATATAATCTAAAGTATCTATATATGCTACAGAATATATAGTGTGTTCTGTCGTCATGCGAATCTGTCGTTTTAAATAGTATCACCCTGATTGACTTATTCACCAATACTAGTACATTAAACTACGGTTATAACGAACTCTGATGTTAGTTCGTAATAACCGTTGTTCGTTATAAGTTTATAAACAGCATATACACAACAAATGGACGGGACTAAAGAATAAGTTCGTTATATCGGTCAGTTCGTGGTAAGAGTGTTCGGTATAAACGTAGTTTACTGTATATCGTCATTTTCAGATTTGGAATGTGCGGAGGGTAGACCGTATTGACATGACTAAAAGGAAAGAGCGGTATATTGTGGAGAGTTTCAGCTACAATCAAGTCCTCAAGAAGAATGAAGATCTCTGCCTTGGCTTTGTAGCCAGGTACAGCAATAACCAAATGCCTAATATCAGGAAACTGAAAGGAAAATTCTTGTACCGCTGTAAGGTTCCTACCACACCTGCTCCTGCAACAACGTCGGCTATTACCTCTGGTACTACTACACCATTGAAGGCATCACCAACTACACCAACAACCACACCTTCGGAAACAACATCAACACCTAGTGACACAACGCAATCAACTTCGGCGACAACGTCTGGCACAACATCGACGTCACAGACAACACCAACGACGTCACAGATAACACCAACGACGTCACAGACAACACCAACGACGTCACAGACAACACCAACGACGTCACAGACAACACCAACGACGTCACAGACAACACCAACGACGTCACGAACAACACCAACGACGTCACAGACAACACCAGCGACGTCACAGACAACACCAACGACGTTACAAACAACGTCACAGTCAACAACACAGGCCCCACAAGGTACTTACGATAGCAAAAGGTTTTTTCTTACTTTATCAGCTTTACTGTGCCTGTTTTTTACGCCAGTAATACAGTTAAATACTATTATGATAAACCGTCACTGACGGTCACACGCCCGTATTTACCTCATGTTTTCTGGGGACAGTTTGCTGTTACTCATTGGCAGCACTATGTATAGCCGAGTCGACCTCTTAGGGACCTACGTATGATATTATTTCAAGAATTTTCTGGCACAATTTAACTTGACATTTCAGTCGGGAGATTCGACTACAATCAAGTGCTTGGACTATCCATTATGTTCTATGAAGCGCAGCGATCTGGCAAACTACCGGAAACTAACAGAATCACCTGGCGGGGAGATTCGGCACTAGGTGACAAGGGAGGTAACACAGACCTAACAGGTGGATGGTACGATGGTAAGTCTCCTGTACTGCAGAAAGAGAATGAATATTGTTTTACTCGCTTGATGCAGTAGTCTAGCAATAAAACTGGGACATCAAAAATGAGCTTCAGACATGTATGTGGGGAATCGAACCCGGGTCTTCGGCGTGACGAGCGAACGCTTAATCCTCTGTGCTGCCCACGTGTTAATCGGCCATAGTGTATGCTGTTCTCTATTTAATGACGTCATCATGGGTTCTGATTTAAGTCATTAGTGACCAACTCGTGTTATTCCGGAACAAGCCGAATCTTCTTGCAGGTTATGGAAAGGGGCGAGTGGTGACGAATGGATTTAAGTATGGCAAGTATGCAAGTATGTTGGCGGAATAAAGCATTTCTGTCGATGGAGTTCCAGATTACTCATTAATATTAAGGTGCATTGTAAACCATATTGGTTAGATTAAGTTTAGGATATAAGCATATTGCGTATTAAATATATATAGATATATGATCTGTAGATATGACGGCGATAGATTGCATTTGGAATCAAACAGGAGTTCAGTCAGAGGTTGTTGTAATTTGAAACCGCTGATTGGCCAGTAATAAGTCAAGAGTAATTCCAATAGTCATGGCAGAACATTAAACAATAATCCCAGTGATGCGTGCTCCTTTGTTGAAATATTTGATTCCGCTTTCAAGTAAACTATCTCAGATGTTGAATTAAAATCATCATCAGTTGAAATGATGAAGTAGCATACGGTAACATCGTATTGTTAAATGTTACAGCCGGCGACTATATCAAGTTCACTTTGCCGATGTCGTCAGCCGTCACCTACCTCCTGTGGGGCCTTCTACGTTGGCCAGACGCCTATGCCGCGGCGGGTCAGCTGGACTACATGTACGACAGCGTCAAGTGGCCCCTGGCCTACCTCCTCAAGAGCTGGGACCCGTCTCAAATGGAGTTCTATGCTCAGGTACAATCAAGGCGGCTGTCTGTTTCTCACCAATAAATGGGGGCTATCGGGTAGCCGAGTGGTTAAAGCGTTCGTTCGTCACGCCGAAGACCCGGGTTCGAATCCCGACATGGGTACAATGTGTGAAGCCCATTTCTGGTGTCCCCCGCCGTGATATTGCTGGAGTATTGCTAAAAGCGGCGTAAAACCAAACTCACTCACTCACTCACCAATAAATGAGGCAACAAATACAATGTGATTGCATGATAGATTTGTGGCAGGCTGGTTCTCGGGGTCAACAGAAGAAATGTTGTAGATTTCAAGTTCGCTTTGAAGAACATTTGAAACGTGGTCAAGGTGTTTTCACTTTACAGGACATATATGGGAAAGCAGGAAAAGAGAATACCTAATGTCTTAGATTTAAAAATGACATCTCGAAAATATGTCATTTGATTTGAGCTCTAATCCGCTCTAATTATAGGAGGGAAGGATATGGTTACAGGAAGTTTTGTGGTCCGAAAATGTGAAATTTGTTCTAAAAGTATTCCTTGTGAATATACTCTATATACATACTCGTGGGTTTCACCGAAGTGGTAAACGTCTGAGACCTGCATCACTTCGGGCTTTCCTCCCACATTAAGCTGAAACGCCGTGATATAACTGGAATAATGTTAAAAGCGGCGTTAAACCCAACTCACTCACTCACTTTCCTCCAACATGTTGACACGCCGTGATATAACTGAATAATGTGAAAAGCGGCGTTAACTGAAGCCACCCCGCTTTATGTGACATTGATTTGAAGTTTTTACCACCATTGCTATTGTCACCTGCTTGAAGGTCGGCCGCGACAGATCCATGTATCCGTGTTGCAGGTCGGGAAGGTGTCACTGGATCATAACTACTGGGGAAGATCCGAGGACATGGACATGGAAAGACCTGCGTACAAGGTGTCACGAACAGGACCCGGAAGTGACGTAGCTGGCCAAACCGCAACAGCGCTAGCAATGGGTTACCTTGCTTTTAAAGAAAGAAGTATGTGTTTGTTCAGTTGATATGATTCAGTAGCGTGATATATGTACCTTTGTTTTATCTCCTTTTATCAGTAGCAAGCTGATGACGATATGTTGGTTAACAATATTTCTAAAAACCCAAATATGCAGAGTTGTGTCCCTTAGGTGCCGGGATCGGCTGGCCATTGGTGTGAACCACGACTGGCCATAATTATGTCTGTCATTTTTATGCCCATGCTCGTAACATTTGAGAACGTCTCCGTGGTCTAGTGGTGAGAGCGTCCGCCCGGAGAGCCGAACGTCGGAGGTTCGATCCCCGGCCGCGTCATACCAAAAGACGTAAAAAGATGGTACTTGTTGTAACCCAGTCTGGCGGTCGGCATTAAGGGGCTAAAACAAGGACTAATCGGCTCGGAGTCAGTATACTGTGTCAGAGTGGAGTATTCAGATTAAACTGCGGCATGCTACCTCAGTGGGCTAGAACTATAAAATCGGCATTAGTCCGGACTTGTACAAACAGCCACACACACATACTTGCACGTCGCTATATAAGTGCAATAATCTTGAACGCGACGCTAAAGCCCATTTCACCTCACCTATATTTGAAAAATAGGATTGTTTTGCGATTCCAATGCTTTTTGCTCAGTTCAATATATATGAAACGGATAAAGCCCTTTCAGAAATCATAATCATAAGAAATCTCTGCTGAAAGCGATATGATGTCACATTACTGCATTGTTCAGAACAAATATTGATAACGTTACGTCAAAACCAAATTGTGACTTCAGCACAGTATTAGGTTTGCCATTTAGACGTTATCACTTCATTTTCTTTTTTCTAAACGGCAACTGGAAATGTATACCCCAAAATAATGGAGAGTGGTGAATGATGGTTGTTAAATGTTTCCTCACACCAGATATGACGTACGCTACGACGTTGCTTGACGCTGCTAAAGGTCTGTACGACTTCGCCAAGAACTACCGAGGCGTCTACAGCGACACCATCACAGATGCCAGGGATGTGTACAAGTAAGGTTATCTTTGACGTACTCAACTCCGAGTTCATATCTCAAGATCTGATAAACCCTCCATTGGACATAACGTGGTGTAGTGGTAGAGCGTCCGTCCGTTCGATCCCCAGCCTCGTCATACCAAAAGACGTTAAGACATGGTACTTGTTGATACCCTGTCTGGCGCTCGGCTTGTCGGACAGGTCGGCTCGGAGTCAGTATACAGTATCTGAATGGGTTTTTCATATAAGGGTAACTCGGTCTTTTAATTGAAGTTAATGGAAGACCTCGGGCTTCTGCAAACGATAATGCCCTGAAAAATAGCGGTACCGTTATTATAGCTAAAATGGATGGAAACAACAATATCGGTTTTGAAACATTTTCTGCAATCAACACGAATGTCACTGACCACATTTTACAAATATTGAATCGTCATAGAACAAACCAGATGACGTCACTATTGAACGTGACGTCACCTACCCTATCCTATGACGTCACCTAACAACGGGCGTGATAATGGCCCGTCGTCAAGCAATATGAGGGCATTATCAAGTTACAGTGGCCCGCTCATTTCTGATAACATGCGGGCGGTTTAATGATAATTCTATCCATTCTCGCTATAATATAAGGGTAACGCTATTTTTCAGGGCATTATCATTTGCAGAAGCCCGAGGTTTTTCATTAACTGCCCGACGAAGGAGGGCAGTTGAAAAGACCGAGGGCTTCTGCAAATGATAATGCCCGGAAAAAGAGCGTACCTTTATTATAGCTAAAATGGATGGAATTTGTTATCAAATAAAAAGAAACAACAATATCGGTTTTGAAACATTTACTGCAATCAACACGAATGTCACTGACCACATTTTACAAATATGGAAACGTCATAGAACAAACCAGATGACGTCACTATAATACGTGACGTCATTTTCTCTACCCTATGACGTCACCTAACAACGGGCGTGATAATGGCCCGTCGTCAAGTAATATGAGGGCATTATCAAGTTACAGTGGCCCGCAGATTTCTGATAACGTGCGGGCGGTTTAATGATAATTCTATCCATTTTAGCTATAATGTCTGATATTGTCAACTGTTGCCTGATATTGTCAACTGTTGCCTGATATAGTCTACTATTGCCCGATATTGTCAACTGTTGCCTGATATTGTCAACCGTCTGTTCAGGTCCAGCATGTACGAGGACGAGCTTGCCCTGGCTGCCGTCTGGCTCCACAAAGCTACGGGTGAAAGCACCTACCTGGTGGACGCTGAGACGTTTGTGCCGATGTACACGGCGTGGTCGCTGGACTGGGACGGCAAGATTGCTGCAGCACAGGTACCCATCTATGGGGGGGGGGGGGGTAAATGAAGAGAGTACAAAGAAAAATAATTTCTTTCTTATATGAAACAAATGCAAATTTATAATGAATTTTACCCACGACGGGCGCGGCGTTTAGCCAAATATGCTTGTCTACACGGATGACAACATAACTTGATGTTAAACAAATGGAATACATATTTTCGGTGCTGTCTTGACCGGAACCTGTCAGTCTCACGACACTACGTACACGAAAGATTGTATGAGCAATCTCCTGACAGGTGCAGGGTGGGGGGTGAGGGTGAAGGCGTGTGTGTGTGTAGGTGTGAGGATGGTGGGGGAAGGTGTGTAGGGGGGGGGGGGTTTGAGGGTGGCGGAAGAGATTGAATCAGCTCACTGACATGGAAAAACATATATCATCAGTTATTGACAACCGCATTCAGCTCTATCGCCAAAGCTATTGACATTATGCGTAATCTACATTTGCTGCTGATGTGATGTGTGTCAGTCAATTGTTGCCATGAGCACTTTTACTGCAATGCACTGAGTAAGTACTAGGCTATGACAGGCTTTAAGTACTAAACTATGACCGGCTTTAAGTACTAAACTATGACAGGCTTTAAGTACTAAACTATGATCGGCCTTAAGAACTAAACTATGACCGGCTTTAAGTACTAAACTATGACCGGCTTTAAGTACTAAACTATGACCGGCTTTAAGTACTAAACTATGACCGGCTTTAAGTACTAAACTATGACCGGCTTTATGTACTAAACTATGACCGGCTTTACATCATGCCAATTTACACCATGCTCACACACATAATCCATGACCTGTGCAGTAACAATGTTGTGATGCTTCCTGTTTCCATGTTCTGTGTATGGACCTGGTTGTTGTTGCAGTTGGCCCTGTATGAAGTGACGGGGAAGCAGACATACAGGGACCAGGTCGAGGCCTTCGTCACCTCCTACATGCCCGGGGGGAGCGTCCCCTACACGCCCCTGGGTCTGGCCTACAGGTCGCAGTGGGGAGCTCTCAGATATGCTGGTGTGTACACATTGCTGAAGGGGTCTGGACTCGCCTTATGAACATTTTGTACACACCTGTCGAGGAATTGTACATACCACACGTTCCTTGCAGCTTCTAGCCCCGTGGGGATTCGGGATTATAACCCCCTTTCAAACTATCCTGGTTGTAAGCGTGGATCGGCTGGTCGGGGTCGGTTGTCTGAGTAATTGTATGGGCCCAGAAGGGGTGGGCCGTTTGTCGCTAATTTGTCAAAACCAGTGCTGTGTTAAGACTAAACAAACTGTGCATGCAACGTGTAAATGAAGACCTAACAGTTTGTATTACAACGTTATAGACTTAAAACTGCTTTCGGGTGCATGAAGGTATTTAATTAAGCCTCTACGTTGTTTCTATCTTAGGTCGAAAATGTAGCAAAATATTTGATAGCACTCACTCACTCACTCACTCACCCAACCACACACCCACCCACCCACTCACTCACTCACTCACTCACCCACCCACCCACACCCACCCACCCACTCACTCACTCACTCACTCACTCACCCACCCACCCACCCACACACTCACTCACTCACTCACTCACTCACTCACTCACTCACACTCTATTACAGCCAACGTTGCTATGTTTGCCCTCATCGCCGCCGACGACGGTATCAACGCTGCTGAGTACCGCGAGTGGGCATTGTCTCAGATACACTACATCCTCGGCGACAATAAATACGGCATGAGCTACGTCATAGGATATGGAGACAACTACCCACTCAAACCTCATCACGCTGGAAGGTAAAGCCAAGTTCTGGTGTCCCCCGCCGTGATAGTTCTGGAATACAGCCCAAAGCGGCGTAAAACCATACTCACTCAGTTGCTCACCACTCTCGTGGTATGAACTGTGAAGACCTCCCGACGCACATACACTGCGTCACTGAAATAGTTTTTCATGTACAGGACCAGTTGTTCTGACAAGAATTCACGAATTTAGTGGGTCATCAACCATTGTCAAAATTAATAATCTTTGTCTGGAAATAAATTGTATTTTAGACAGCCATATTCCAAAATGGCTGCCATGGCAGTCTGAGGTCAAATTTTCGATGGCCCTTTTAATAATTTTAAATTTCAACACTTTGGTACGACGAAAAATGGCCGCCATGGCAGCCTGAGGTCAAATTTTCGATGGCCCTTTTAATTATTTTAAATTTCAATACTTTGGTACGACGAAAAATGGCCGCCATGGCAGCCTGGGGTCAAATTTTCGATGGCCCTTTTAATAATTTTAAATTTTAATACATTGGTACGATGAAAATTTTGCGCCAAATTTCATGCTTTAAGCCTCCAATGCACTATTCTTCTGATCCACTGAAACAATCAATGTGTTAAGTAATAAATATGAAAGAGCTAGACAGTCCTTCAAACTTGAGAAGGTGTTTATGATTAATTTTGATTTTAACAGGGTCGTAATTCAGTCATGTCAGCAATGTTAAATGAAACAGGTGCGTCTGATTCCTAGCCAGCAGTAAAACAATATATTTACGTTATAATGTACGTCAAATGAAATCCATATTTCTGCGTGACGTCAGCTCGTGCCCCGACCGTCCTGCTAGCTGTACCTGGAATGACTTCAACAGTCCGGCTCCCAACCCCCAGATTCTCTACGGGGCCTTGGTTGGCGGCCCGGATCAGAACGACAACTACGTGGACGACAGGACCGACTACGTCAAAAACGAAGTGGCCTGCGACTACAACGCTGGCATGCAGTCCGCCATTGCTGGTACGTATTTACGTCACGCGTACAAACTATGACGTTCACTCACTCACTCACTCACTCTTACAGGATAATGAGAGCAGAGGGTATACTTCTCATTCAGTGTGCTACAACCTTCTTCTCCCGTGAAGATTCCGGGTTGGAATTGATCTTCAACAACCCATGCTTGTTGTAAGAGGCGACTAACGGCATCGGGTGGTCAGGCTCGCTGATGACTGATGCGTGTCATCGTATCCAAATTGTGTAGATCGATGCTCATGGTGTCAATCACTGGATTGCCTGGTCCAGACTCGATTATTTACAAACCGCCGTCATATAGCTGGCATATTGCTGAGTGTGGCGTTAAGCAACAAACAAACAAACAACTAACTTCATAAAGAAAATGGAAGAGTGCCGTGGCGACATCGACTCAGTTTTCAAGCCTTTACTGGTATTCTTCTATTTTTATTGTGTGATTTGTTTTTGACAGGCATAATCCATCTCCGAGAAACAAAACAACTACCGGAAGACGCTGTTTCCTCCACTACCTCACCCCCAGGACAGAGATCGACCTTGGCCCCAGTGACGGTGACCGACAGCGGTCCAACAGCATCTACCGCCTCCCCAGGTTCGTTTCTCATGCTTTAGGGGCGGTGGTGTAGTCTAGTGGTTAAAGCGTTCGCTCGTCACGCCGAAGACCCGGGTTCGATTCCCGACATGGGTACAATGTGTGAAGCCCATGTGTGGTGTCCCCCCGCCGTGATATTGCTGGAATATTGCTCAAAGCGGCGTAAAACCATACTCACTGCTTTAACCTTTCCGTCACTATAACGGGCCACCGGTAGCCCAGTTGTGTAAGATTCATAACTCACTGTGCAGTGTTGCCTCTGTGCAAGTAGCAGTTAAATGTGGGTTCGAATCTTGAAATCCACCCCCGGTTTTAGTAAAGGGAGAAACGCTTGCAGCTCCTTGAGTATTGCTGGGCAGAGTTGTTCCCCGTGAATCACAGTGATTAACTGTGAATCACAGTGACTAACTGTGAATCATAGTGACTAACTGTGAATCACAGTGACTAACTGTGAATCATAGTGACTAACTGTGAATCACAGTGACTAACTGTGAATCAAAGTGTCTAACTGTGGCACAAATTGCAATAGTGACGCCACTCACGGACAATCGTATTAGGACCACAGAGACCCCTCCACCGTCAACTGGTATTATATATAATGCTGTTAATATATAGTAGAGGACATTTCATGTGTCAAGTGAAATATGTTTCTATCATCGAGTCAAAGGGGAAAGGGGGTATTTTCATCCGTCACAAGATGAGAGAAACAAGATATTTCACGAGACACATGGAATCCTATTTATTATATATTTTTGTGTAGTTGTCTACCGGAAATTTAATTATTTCGTTACAAAGGTAAAACCTTGAAACGTAAATTCTCCCTACCTAACACACAAGAACGGTTTACCACCCCTTGTATTTTCGACTAAAAAGAGGTTTCATGATTCCAGAATCTTCTGTTCATAAAATAGACTTGTCCGACATTTCCGAGATCGAATTGTATTCAGGGAGGCATCATTATTTAAATACAGGTACATGTTTTCAAAGCTGGTACATTTTTAAACATCCTTGAAAAGGTTGTACATAATGTTGATATCCCATATACAAAATAAACGATTCATGGTCGTTGTTTATCGTACAATAAAACACCGCAAAGAGAATTATCCATGGTTGGTTCTCACTGCAGTGTTTTATTGCACGATAAACATCGACCATGAGTCGTTTGTGTCTTAAATAATACGACCCGTGAAGATTCCAGGGTAGAATAGGTCTTCAGCAACTCATGCTTGTCGTAAAAGGCGACTAACGGGATCGGGTTGTCAGACTCGCTGACTTGGTTGATGCATCCATTATTTACCTATCGCCGTCATATAGCTGGAATGTTGTTGAGTGCGGCGTTAAACAACAAACAAACCAACCCATCTTAAATAATACACTTGATGATGAAGGATGTCCGAAAAGTGAATGCAATGAATATTGTGAATCAAATCCCAAAACTGTAAGGTGTGTTATTATCACTTCGCCTTTCCTGGTAAGTAAGTGTAACCAACTGTCGAGGGGGGGGGGGGGGGGGGGGGGGGGGGCACGGTTGGCCCAGTCGTCTAAGGCGTCGCTGTGCAGAGTTGCGTCCCTTGGGCGCGCCAGAAACCTATGATTGCGGGTTCGAATCCCGGTTCGCCCCGATTATGTTTCTAGGTTTATCAGCACCATACCCGTGCTCGTGGGTTTCACCGAAGTGGTAAACGTCTGAGACCTGCATCACTTCGGGCTTTCCTCCCACATCAAGCTGACGCGCCGTGATATAAATGGAATACTGTTAAAAGCGGCGTTAAACCCAACTCACTAACTCACTCATCCTGTCCAGGCAGCGCCTCTGCACACAACTTGTCTCAAGTCCTGGAGTTCTCCATCCTATTCTATGAAGCACAGCGATCAGGAGCTCTTCCAGACACTAACAGAATCCCCTGGCGGGGAGATTCGGCACTAGACGACACAGTTCCTGGAGGGTGGTATGACGGTGAGTGGATATCAACTGCACGTACCTTATAATGCCACCCTGGATGCCCCAGGGTAATATTTACCCGTTTTATTTGGATAAAAACCCTGGAAATAGGCCAAAATCGATACGTATATGTGGAAATATATAAGGATCCAGGTTTAAAACAAAATATTATGAGAACATAAGAAAATGTAAATAACGAAAGAAATCATTTATCGTTGCAACATTTAGGTCAGCAATTTGGCTAGGGGTCAGACATGTCGCCAGGGGTCATTTAAGTATAAATGTAATATTTGTCTGAGATGCTAATTTGTTAATGTGACAGTTGAGACAGTCTTAGAGATGGGATCACCGTGCGGACCCCATTCTCCCCTTTTGAAAACCAAATGTAGTATGTTGTAGGCAGTAAACTTGAATGAGAGGGGATATTTTGGACCCCTCCCTTTTAAAAATGCCGGACCGGTCTCCACGCGACTGGACACATGAGGTTTCTTCAGGCATGACTAGGTCCCCGTCGGGACATTCCATAGTAATATTGTAATTATTATTTCTGTATTTGCAGCTGGTGACCACATCAAGTTCACGTTCCCAATGTCGGCTGCCGTCACGTACCTCCTGCTGGGTGTTCACGCCTGGAAGGACGCCTACGTGGCCAGCAGTCAGCTCAACAACATGTACGACAGCATCCGCTGGCCTCTCGACTACTTCCTCAACAGCTGGGACCCCACCAAGCAGGAGCTGTATGTTCAGGTAAAGCTCGCTACACGTTTCTCCACATCCGTGAAGATCCGGGGTAGAATAGGTCTTCAGCAATCCATGCTTGCCGTAAAAGGCGACTATGCTTGTCGTAAAAGGCGACTAACGGGATCGGGTGGTCAAGCTCGCTGACTTGGTTGATGCATGTCATCGATCCTAATTGCATGGATCGATGCTCATGAGATCAGTCACTGGATTGTCTGGTCCAGACTCGATTATTTACAGACCGCCGCCATATAGCTGGAATATTGCTGTTAAACAACAAACCAGCCAACCAACAACACGTGGCATCCTGTACTGCATCCTTGTTCCATCAGGGGAGACAATAGCGGTACACTGAGGTCGCTGCTGTGCAAATGTTATTTTTTTTAGTGCGCTGTTTTCCCCTTTCGGAACTATTCTTCAAACATTTAAGGAAGTGAAGCCATATTTTACGAACGCTTCCCTTACACTCTTTCAGAAATGTTTGTTTTCTGATTTTGATTTGCACGTAAAAGCCGCGGCTTCGTACAACACTAAATTTTTGTTCGTAAAAACAAGTTAAATAGCTGCCAATTCCTAACAAACACGTTTAAACCATTTTACTGAAACGCACGACCGCGGTAAGGTGATGACAAAACGAATATTGAGGGCTATTCGTCACCACTCGCCCCTTTCCGTAACCTGCGAGAAGACTCGTCCCCCAATCGATGAATGTTATGTGCGAAAATACGACAAACCAATCAGAATGCGCGTATGATTTCAAGTTCTTCGTCAAAGAATCCCTCAGAAACAATTTTTGATTTTACATATGTCTTGAATCTAAAAATAAACCCAAGACACAGTTAAATGTGTTCAATCATACTGTATAATTCCGCATGTCCCGATGTGCTTTTAATTACATCTGAAATAAATATAATATATGGGGAAAGATAAGTGAACCATTACGCAACGAGTTAACAATTGTTTTAGGTATGCCCGTTTGCGCTAAGACGGAACCCGGTCGCAAAAATGGCCATGAGAGGGGCACAAGTCGCTATTCGGCTTGTCCCGGAATAACACAGGTTGTTCACGAATGCGCTATTCGGCATGTGCCGGATTAACAAGAGTTGGTCACGAATGATTCAGGGCTGGTCGGAATTCGAACCAACGATCATAGGTTTCTGGCACTTCTAAGGGACGCAACTCTGCACAGCAATTGCAGCTAAGTGTAATGTACCGTTTTGTTGTCTAGGTGGGCAAGGTCTCGCTGGATCACGCTGTGTGGGGTCGGGCCGAGGACATGACCATGGACAGGCCAGCCTACAAACTCAGCCCCTCGGGCCCCGGAAGTGACGCAGCGGCAGGGACTGCAGCCGCCATGGCAATAGGGGCCATTGTGTTTCAGAAAGAAGGTACGAGTCTCCCTATGATCCTTTCGTGTGTTGATTTACCTTAAACCATTTTGTTTCAAACTTTTTACTGCTGACCAAAATAAACAAAAATAAGTACCTGACAACTGAGCCCGCGGATCAACTTAATCTGTGCAGTCGAGACAGAAGGAGTAGCAACAGTGCCTTACGTTTCTATAAGAGTGAGTGAGTGAGCGATTTGGGTTTAACATAACAGCATTCGAGTTATATCAAGCCGTGATTTGGGTTTAACATTACAGTATTCGAGTTATATCAAGCCGTGATTTGGGTTTAACATAACAGTATTCGAGTTATATCAAGCCGTGATTTGGGTTTTACATAACAGTATTCGAGTTATATCAAGCCGTGATTTGGGTTTTACATAACAGTATTCGAGTTATATCAAGCTGTGATTTGGGTTTTACATAACAGTATTCGAGTTATATCAAGCCGTGATTTGGGTTTAACATAACAGTATTCGAGTTATATCAAGCCGTGATTTGGGTTTAACATAACAGTACTCGAGTTACATCAAGCCGTGATTTGGGTTTAACATAACAGTACTCGAGTTATATCAAGCCGTGATTTGGGTTTAACATAACAGTATTCGAGTTATATCAAGCCGTGTCAGCTTAATGTGGGAAGAAAACCCGAAGTGATGCAGGTCTCAGACGTTTACCACTTCGGTGAAACCCACGAGCACGGGTATGGTGCTGACAAACCTAGAAACATAATCGGGTCGAACCGGGATTCGAACACACAATCATAGGTTTCTGGCGTGCCCAAAGGACGTAACTCTGTCCAGCAAATCGCGGCGCCTTAGACAACTGGGCCACCCGTGCCCCCCATTTTGATAAGACAGAAAAACACAACGAAAAGAATACTCTGTAATGATCAGATTAGAGTCAGAAATGAGAGTTTATGCTGGAGTGACCGCCTATGTGGCGTAGTGGTAGAGCGTCCGCCCGGGGAGCATTGGGACCAGGGTTCGATCCCCGGCCGCGTCATACCAAAAGATGTTAAAAGATGGAACTTGTTGTTACCCTGTCTGGCATTAAGGGGACAAAAACAAGGACTGGGCGGCCCGGAGTCAGTATACTGTGTCTGAGTGGGGTATTCATGTTAAACTGCGGCATGGTTGCTCAGTGAGTTAGTACTATAAATCGGCATTAGTCCGGACTAGTACAAGCAGCCACACACATTCACACACACACGTGCATGCACGTCGCTATATAAGTGCAATGGTAATGGACGCGACGTTAAACACGATTTCACCTCATCTACACTGAAGTAGACATGTGCAGAGTGTTTTGTAGACATACACCACGTGATCGGGCAGACATGCCTTCGTAGTACTTACTTTTCAACCGATCGTACGTTAAAGGGCAAGTTCACACGGAAATGAACCTATTTTTCTTGTACTTTTTCCACATTAAAAGTGTTAACATAGAAGTGTCATAGACAAAAATATAAAAATATCACAATTAATTAACATATTTTTCGCATTAAAACGATTTATATTTTTCACATTTACCAAGTGTTCTATTTCCACAACAAAAACACCATGGCTTTTGCCCCTTGCAATATGACGTCATTGGTGCCAATTGATAAACATTATGACGTCATCATGCTTTGTTAGAGCCGCTTCACGTGGTGTAGGTCCAGGTGTGTGATTCTTGCGTCTCAGATGCCAGCTAGCATAGTGTTATGCTGAGTCACCACTGCGCCGGAGTGTGTCGTAGGCCATGTTGTTTTACCGCAAACTGGTACTTGATATCTTTTGCGTTGAGAATAGACAGGGACCCAGTTGAATTGGCACCAATTACGTCATAATCTAAGGGGGATAACTCAGGCCTGTTTAGCTCGAAAAACGAAGGCCTCATAACGGCATATCATTTTCACACTATTGTGAGATTCCTACGTTCACTGTGAAAAAAATGAGTGTATATTTTCAAACACAGATACTTATTAATTCTAAAATTGCGTTTTGTTTAGAAAAAGAAAGAAGGTGATTTTTGCGTGTACACTTCCCCTGGAAGGCGTCTTGTTGGATGAGGTTTGGGAATGCCCTCTGGGTCTCAAATCTGTTAAAAGTGTTTCATAGCTTGTCTAGTCTCATGATGCATCTTTTTTTTTTATCGAAATTGACCCTGAAAATTCTTGAAAAACAGAATTATGCTTCAGGTTGAAAAAAGAGAAATTGTCTGCCACACAAATTACATCGCTGCAAGGTGTTTTTCTTTGAAACATATTCAGGTTCATAGCTTTAAATAAAAAGGTATATGTTTTCACAGATGTTGGCTAAAAGTTATCTAATCTCCAGACAAAATCCCAGCCCCCTACCCCTACCCTAACCCCCGGGGGCTACACGGGGTAGCTGGCAGGTATGTTTACATGTGTTGGTCTCATTTTCACTTTCACTTTCACTTTCACTTTCACTCTCCCCGTTGCTACAGATCCCGCCTACGCCAGTCGACTGCTGACGGCTGCTGCAGAACTGCACGACTTCGCCAACACATACACCGGTATCTATACCGACACCGTCACTGACTCCCGCGACGGCTACGGGTAAGCGACGTTCTTTGGTCACATTGACCCACAGAGCCATGCTGTTGTATGTGGGTTTCCAGTTTGCATGGCTGGTGAAGAATATCACTGTCCATGTCATATGCTCACATTGCTCACGGCCAATTTTAGTTCGTTATAACCGTAGTTCGTTATATGCATATTTACAGGATAAATACAGCAAATGACCGGGACCAAAAACAAGTTCGTTATATCCATAAGTTCGTTATAACCGTAGTTCGTTATAACCATATTTACAGCAAATATACAGCAAATGGCCGGGACCCAAAAATAAATTCGTTATATCCGTAAGTTCGTTATAAGCGTGTTCGTTATAACCGTAGTTTACTTTATTTTACTGTTTATTTTTTTAGGGAAATATTTGATGGATAAGTTGTAAACCAAATAATTATATATACTCTTAAAAGTGTCTTCATCTTCCTAGGTCCAACGACTACAACGACGAGCTTGCGCTGGCTGCAATTTGGTTGTACAAGGCCACACGTCAGCAACACTACCTCACTCATGCCAGGACCCATGCCTCAAAGTTGTCATCTTCTCCGTGGGCTCTTGATTGGTCGGATAAGACGGCAATCGTTCATGTAAGTATTGGAATATTTAATGACGCCCACATGATATTCTAGAAGAGCTGGGAGTTTTGTTTTGAGACAAAATCACCGCTTTTCCTGAAAGGGGTCGCCGGTGTGTCTTTTACTCACAATGCAATAGTGTTCAGAACATCAAATATGTTCTATGAACGACTTTCGTCTTTTGTAGATCCTAATTGCATTTTCGGCAACTAATTATTTTCAAAGACGCCTCACACACTGCCCATGAATATAAAAAGGGTCTGCCCATTCTATAGAAAAAGTTAAAGAACACCTGATTATTTCATATTTATATAGTTAATAATTCATGGGTTGAGTAGCATATTTCTTCATTAACATACCATTCGTCACCACTCGCCCCTTTCCGTAACCTGCAAGAAGACTCGTCCCCCTATCGATGAATGTTATATTCGCGAACCATTAGGCAACGAGCTGACAATTGTTTTAGGTATGCCCGTTTGCGCTAAGACGGAACCCGGTTGCAAAAATGACCATGAGAGGGGCACGAGTCGCTATTCGGCTTCTCCCGGAAGAACACGAGTTGGTCACGAATGATTAACATACATAAGAAACATTTGTCAAGCCGCCCTGAATCGAAACTCGGGATAAGGGTTCATTAATGAGAGGATCTCAGGAAATCAACTTGGACACCTCATTCAGAGTTACCTCCCTTACTATGATCAGCAAGGAGTCAATCAATGATCAACTCACTAGCATTATTAACTATCGGATCCTAATCTAGAAATTGCAGAATATCGATGGTCAAGATTTACCACGACTGTCTGTAGACCTGTAACTATTGTTCTTGTCGTAACTGTGTGGGAATATGCCAGTTTTAGGCAAATAGACCATGCTTCGTATGCTAGTCAACCTTATACTACATGATACAGGGCTAGTGTCATTCAATAAGATGGCTTCCTTAGCCAAGAAGTCGTCTGCGCGGAGAGCGGAAGGTCGGGGGTTCGATCCCCGGCCGTGTCATGCCACAAGACATTAAAAGATAGTACTTGTTGTTACCCTGCCTGGCGCTCGACATGAAGGAGCTGAAACAAGCAATGGTTAGCTCGGAGTCACAATAGTGTGTCTGAGTGGGGTATTCATGTTAAACTGCCGCATCGTATCTTAGTGGGATAGTACAATAAAATCGGCATTAGTCCGGAATAGTACAAGCAGCCATACACACGCGCACACACACGCGCACACACACGCGCGACTGTTGTCTGAGGCGCTTCAATTCGCTGTGCAGAGTTGCGTCCCTTAGGCGTGCCAGAAACCTATGGTCATGCATTCGAATCCCATCTAAGTTTGTCATTACCATACGCGTGCTCATGGATTTCATCAAAATGGAAACATCTGAGAGTTACATAACTTTAAGCTTGGAGTGACTCGTATTCTACGTGATGGACATTAACGAGCGCTTCAAAATAGGACCTGCATCACTTCGGGATTTCCTCTGACATGAAGCTGATCGCTGACTATAAATGAAATAGTGTTCAAAGCGGCAATGAATCAAGCTCACTCACTCATTCAATGACAACTAATTTAATCAATAAATAAAAGTTGTCACGAGTGATGACCCCGCCACCCCCACCCCCCACCCCCCACCCCCCAAAAAAAAGAGGAAAAAAAAGAGAAAGAATAAACGCTTGGGTGAGATCAAGCGCTATCTATACTGTAGATATCGCTGCAATGAAATTGCACCATTGTGACGTCATTGGTTACCATGACGTCACAATCAAATGACATCACTAATGGCTCTGCTAATGAAGCTGTTAGCAGTACTTTTTACACTTAAGACACTGTTTATACCTTTCTACAAACTGAAAAAGTTGGAAGAATGATGTTGGATGATAAATAAAATCTCACCCTCGAGTCTTTTGATATCAAATTTATCAACACTCGTTGATAAAAGTGGAAGAAAGTCCTCGGCAAGCCTCGGAGTTGTCCCACTTTTATTAACTCGTGTTGATATATTTGATATCAAAAGACACTCGGGTGAGATTCTCTATTTACCGACATTTTACGAGCGCTTTAAGCTAACCCTGTAATGAGTCATCACTGGGCGTACGCAGTCGTTAATGTGTGGTTATGTGTCACAGCTGGCTATGTATGAGGAGACGCAGGAGGAGAAATATAGTGACGCCATCAAGGCCTTCATGACGTCATATCTCCCCGGTGGGTCAGTCGCCTACACGCCGTGTGGACTCGCCTGGCGCCTTGAGTGGGGTCCTCTCCGGTACACGGGTAAGATTCAGTATATTCACATGTTGATACATTGCCATGGCTATTTCCATCTCTATTTCATTAGGATAGAAACCACCGCCTCCGTGGTCTAGTGGTAGAGCGTCCGCACGGAGAGCGAAAGGTCCGGAGTTCAATCCCCGGCCGCGTCATACCAAAAGACGTTAAAAGATGGTACTTGTTGTTACCCTGTCTGGCACTCTGCATTAGGGGCTAAAACAAGGATAAGTCGTCTCGATGTCAGTATACTGTGTCTGAGTGGGGTATCCATATTAAACTGCGGCATGGTATCTCAGTGAGCTAGCACTATAAATCGGCATCAGTCCTGACGAATACAAGCGGCCACACACACACACACACACACACACACATGCATGCACGTCGCTATATAAGTGCAATAATCTTGGACGCGACGTTAAACCCTATTTCACCTCACCTGCAATGCAAACGTTCTTTCACTAGCAGCGAAATGTCAAATACATTGATTTGAAATCAACGAAAAGGTTCTTGTTTATGCCTTAATTGCAAACGATTTAAGATAAATTTAAGATTTGAAACCTATGAAAGTTTCACCTCTTTGTCAAAGTTGTGAAGAATATACGAAACGAGATGTATATACGAGACAGAGGAAGGCTATCACCACTGGTAAAACAGTGAGTTTCATGTCACTAGGTAACCTATAATACTGATCTCAGTGATACTAATGATTGACTGCTATTGACAGCCAATGTGGCCATGTTCGCGCTGTTGGCTGCCGACGCGGGGTTCGAACCACAGACTTACAGATCGTGGGCTTTGGGTCAGATCGGCTACATGCTGGGTGAAAACAACGCCGGACGGAGCTACGTAGTCGGCTACGGCAGCAACTACCCGGTCCGACCGCACCACCAGAACAGGTAAAGTATTGATCACGCACACCCAGACACTCACGCACGTACACGCACACCCACGCACACACGTACACACACGCACACACACATACACACACACCTAAACACTCACAAACATGATTCGTGGATCGATGCTCATGATATTTATCACTGGATTGACTGGTCCAGACCGCCGTCATATAGCTGGAATACTGCTGAATGTGGCGTTAAAAATAAATAAATAAATAAACAAACAAACATAAATATTATTCTTTCATGCCAGCCCCTTTAATCTCTCTCTTGTCTCTAACGCATTCTACTTCGCCACCCTCAGCGCCTGTCATCCTCACCCCGCTGTCTGTGACTGGAGCACCTTTGATGACCCCGCCCCTAACGCCCATGTCCTTAAAGGGGCTCTTGTAGGGGGTCCGGGGAGCAACGACAACTACGTGGACGACAGAACAGACTACATCCAGAACGAGGTGGCGTGTGACTACAACTCTGGATTCCAGTCAGCTATTGCAGGTAATGCTTCAAGGCGAGAGACAAATATTGACTTTGAACAGTATTTCAGTTGCTTGATGTGTGTGTGAGTGTGTGTGTGTGGGGGGGGGGGGGGGGGGGCGCGAAGTGATGCAAGTGTTAGACATTTATCACTTTGCTGAAACCCACGAGTACAGGTATGGTGCTGACAAACCTAGAAACATAATCGGGCCGAGGTTTCACATAGGTTTCTGGTGTGCCAAAGGGACGCAACTCTGCACATCGAATCGCGGCGCGTTAGGCGACTGGGCCACCCGTGCCCCTAACTGTAAAAGAAAATATGAAAGAGTGGGAATTGAGCAATTCTGTAAAATCTGGGGCATTAAGCTTAGGGGGTTAAGCATAACACGATACCAATCCAACCCGGGTTCACGGCGTGATGAGAGACAACGCTACCCGAACCGCCCTGATTGCTAAAGGCATCTTGATACAAACCGTTGTTAAATCTTCATCAAATGTATGTTGAGCATTTTTCTTACATGTTCAGTTTTGAAAATACAGTTGCGTCATTAATATCCAAAACTTTCTGCTTGACTGCTTGAATCATTGAACGTCATCAGTTGTTTGGTGACCTCATTGCCTTCGGTAGTGACAACATACAATAAACTGCGGTTATATCGAACTCAAAGGGGCCACTAATTTTAGTTCGTTATAACCGTAGTTCATTATAAACGTAGTTCGTTATAATTATATATACAGCATTTATGCAGCAAATATACAGCAAATGGACGGGATCAAAACACATTTCGTTATATCCGCCAGTTCGTTATAAGCGTAGTTTACTGTATTTGTTTATCGTTTGTTAATGTACACATTGAATACTCCGAACATTTATAATACAAAACAATATTTACCGACATTATCTTACACCACGAGAAATGCGGGCGCAATTCAAATCAAAATTTCCGGATAAGTTTTCTTCATTTATACAGTGTTGGTTCCAAGCGAAATCTTTAGACATGGCTTAATAACGAGTAAACAACGTTGAGTTACAGGTTCATATCTTGGGTTAATAAATGCGAAGCGTTTCGAATGTGATATAATATACTCACACGCAAAAGAAACGCAAGTCGTGTATGCAGTATACATGTTGTTTATTTTCAACAATAAAAACAAGAAATACTAATAGGGCAAGATTGACAAAAAATTGGCTGAAGGCAGTTTAATGGATTAAAAGGCAGATGACATAAAAAAAAAAAAATTCAAATGTAAAGGCTTACACAGTTTCGGGTCAATACCCAAAATGTCAGTCAATACCTGGTGTGACCACCATTAGCATTGATCACTGCCACACATCTCCTGTACGTTGAGTGGATCAGATGATTTGTGAAGGCCCTAAGGATCCTCCTGCACACATCCAGAGCAGCTGTGCGTAGTTCATCGGCAGTTGTAGGGATTGGGCGCACATTGTGCAGACTTTTTGAACCTCATCCCACAAGTGTTCGATGGGGTTGAGATCAGGGCTGAGGGCTGGCCACGGGAGAACACGGATGTTGTGCTGTTGCAGAAAGGCCATTGTAGCTCTGGCAACATGGGAACGAGCGTTGTCCTGCTGGAAAATGTGTTGTCGATGTTGTGCAAAAAATGGAACAACGTGGGGTCTGATCACGTGGTCGATATACCGTTGAGCAGTGTCCCCGACCTTGACCAACCTTCAGAAAGCACATGGGTCCAAGTCTCGCATTAAGTCCAATCCCTGCCCATATCATGACGCTAGGACCACCCAATGGATCCCTTTCCACAACGTTTCTGTCAGCGAAACGATCACCTCGACGCCGCCAAATTCTGACTCTTCCGTCTGCATGGGAGACACAAAGGCGACTTTCATCAGAGAAGATGACACGACTCCACTCACGATGACGCCAATTGCGATGACCCTGTGCCCACTGAAGTCGCGCTTGTCGATGCCGTGGTTGGAGAACAGGACGACGTGCTGGTCGGCGACATCTGAGGTTGTTGGAACGGAGACGTCGGATCACAGTGTCCCGGCTAATGTGTCGATTATGTGTTCCTATGGTCTGTCGAGCACTTTCGCTGGTGTTGACGGGTAATCTGCCGATCCTGTCGAGGTGTGGTGACCCTAGGACGACCGCTCCGAGGAAGGTCATCTGTGGTCTGTATAGCATTGTATCGATGCAGGAGACAGTAAATTTTGGTTATGTTAACGTTGAAATGACGGGCAACATCTTGGACAGACTCTCCAGCTTTCAAACGTCCGATAGCCTGGTTTCTCTGAATTTGGGTTAGGCGTGGCATTGTTGACCAAGTAGTGGTAGGTCCAAGAATCGGCCACAGTTGTATACCCACTACAGGTCGTGACAGTTCGTGCATTTTCGATTTCGCGAGAGATGGGTGCATGATACCCACATATTCATTGAAATGGTGCTTTACTCGGGGCTTCCAAAATGCAACCAAATAGATTGATAACACCATCAGGCTTCACTACATGCTAAAACTCGTATCAATTTATAGTTCCGCGTTTGTTACCTATTTGCTTAAAACCACTTGCGTTTCTTTTGCGTGTGAGTATACATCATCTCCATTGATTATATCTGTGTCTGTCTCTGTTGTCCAATATCAAACTAATATATACGTGGCTTTGTCGCAGATGGTTCAAATTTGTTCATATTCATTGACGTTGGTGTCAGCACGGCGTTATGAACCAAGGTTGTCGGTGACACATCGTGCAGTTTCCATTGAACACAATATCAATGTCCACACCCTATGCGAGGACGCACACGTGGTAGACATGTACAATCGACATCTGCGTCAGATTTTTACTGGATAAACATCTTATAAACGTATTTTCGATATATGGCTAGGTTACCTGCATGTCTAACAACGACAAGTTGAATATTAGACCCGAATGTGGTGACACGGTCGTCAAATCAGCTATTCCAATCAGAGGTGGTTTTGTGATTTGAGTGAGTGAGTTAGGTTTAACGCCGCTTTTAAAAGTATTCCAGTTATATCGCGGCGTGTCAGATATTGTGGGAGGAAAGCCCGAAGTGATGCAGGTCTTAGACGTTTACCACTTCGGTGAAACTCACGAGCACGGGTATGGTGCTGACAAACCTAGAAACATAATTGGGGCGAACCGGGATTCGAACCCACAATCATAGGTTTCTACCGTACCCAAAGGACGCAAATCTGCACAGCGAATCGCGGCGCCTTAAACGACCGGGCCACCCGTGCCCCCTCCCGAAGCAGATCATACAACGCTAACACCACCAACATAACGTACATGAGTCCCGCGAAAACTGCATCATATAGCTAGAATACTGCTGAGTGCGGCGCTAAACAACAAACAAAACAATTGGTATTTACCCGTGAAGGTCCGATTATATTTGTTTGTTTTACGCCACACTCAGCAATATTCCAGACTGAGTTATATGACGGCGGTCTGTAAAAAAATCGAGTCTGGACTAGACAATCCAGTGATTGACATCATGACCATCGACCCACGCAATTGGGATACGATGACTTGCATCAACCAAGTCAGCGAGCCTGACCACCCGATCCGGTTAGTCGCCTCTTACGGCAACATAGTCGCCTGTAACGGCAAGCATGGGTTGCTGAAGATGTATTCTAACCTGGATATTCATGGGTCACATTGCTGAATTGACTGTAAAACTGTCTTAGATATCAATCGTTGATTTGTTTGTGCCGGCAGAAATCGTCTTCGGAAACAGAGAAACGTCAAACACCATGTCAGGAACACTTGTCACCACTTCTTTTGTGGGCTGCGCGGATGTTTCAGATCCACCGGTTCAATTGCCATGTCCTGAGTGTTCCTAACCGGGCCTTTACACAGGATGGCGATCTTTGTGATTTCCGACAAGCACTTAATTTTGAGACCCGGGTAGATCCGGGGTAGAATAGGTCTCCAACAACCCATTCTTGCCGTACATGGCGAATGTGCTGGTTCAGACTTGAATATCTACAGACCGCCGTCATATAGCTGGAATATTGCTCAGTGCGGCGTTGAACAACAAACAAAAAACAAATTTAAAAAGAATAAACGAGTCTGGACCAAACAATCCAGTGATTGACATCATATACACAATTTTTCATATGTTATATAATAGCATATGTCTAGTCGATAACGTACAACCATATAAGCACTCCGATACTGATATTTACTTGGGTAAAGGTTACGTGTTCAATGTGTTCAATTCTTTTTCAAACGGAAGGAATTTCTTTATCCGTTATGTCAAATCTCGAGTTGCAATTAGTTGGTTGGTTGGTTTGTTGTTTAACGCCGCACTCAGCAATATTCCAGCTATATGACGGCGGTCTGTAAATAATCGATTCTGGACCGGACAATCCAGTGATTAATATCACGAGCATCGATCCACGCAATTGAGTGAGTGAGTGAGTGAGTGAATATGGTTTTACGCCGCTTTTAGCAATATTCCAGCAATATCACGGCGGGGGACACCAGAAATGGGCTTCACATATTGTACCCATGTCGGGAATCGAACCCGGGTCTTCGGCGTGACGAGCGAACGCTACCCGGCCGCCCCTCCACGCAATTGGGATCGATGACATGCATCAACCGAGTCAGCGAGCCTGACCACCTGATCCCGTTAGTCGCTTCTTACGACAACCACAGTCACATTTTACGGCATGCATGGGTTGCTGAAGACCTATTCTACAACGGATCTTCACGGGTCAGTTGCAATTAGTACCCAATGTTTGTCATAATTGATATTGAGTTCCTATCTCCAGGGTCTTGGTTGATTACGCTATAAATATTGGTTGGTGATCAATGATCAATTCAAACCAGTCCACTAGATTTCAGAGATCCGGAAATCCGTGTATGAATGTCAGATACGATTAATGGTTTATTTCAAGACTCACGGAAACATGTGTCTAATTCGGCGGCCAAATGATAGGTATAGTTGAAGAGTTTGTAAGGTGAACCTCGCATGGCATGCTCATTTCCTAGCATTAAGAAATTTAGGAAATACTGATCCTCCGTGCTGTGTATACGAGTACGCATAAGTACAAGTTTGAAACAGGTTGTGTTTTGCACTAATATATCGTCCCTCGCCTGTAAACTGCCAATATATTCTCTACTCATATTCTAAGTAAGAGAAAATAAGTAGAATCAAATAAACTAAAACCTCTCCAGCTGAAGTTGTTTATATTTTAAAGTTTTTCGGGAAAATAAATCCAAAGATACCAAATATTAAAAGACATCAACCAACATATTCCATTTGACGGGAATGAGTTAGTGAGTATTGTTTTACGCCGGTTTTAGCAATATTCCAGCAACATCACGCGCGGGGGGGGGGGGGGGGGCGGGGACCCATGTCAGGAATCGAACCCGGGTCTTCGGCGTGACGAGAGAAGGCATTAACCACTAGGCTACCCGACCGCGGGAATGTCAAATATTTAACAATGTGTGGTCTCTAACGATATATCAATGGAAAACCCAGAAGTGATTCTTTGGCATTTGATTTTGTAACCAAGGAATTATTTTTGCGTTCATTTTTCTGAAAAAGGATTAGGTCGCGCCTACTAGCGGACTGCTGTTTCTCTAATTGTTTGAGTGGGCGGGACGATATCACTGTTTTCATGTTGTTTGTGTTAATTTGTTGTTTGTGTTTGTGTTAATGATCAACTAGGCAGTCTGTTAAGTTATTATTGTATTTTGACTTCAATATATTTTTGCGTTTTGGGGAGCGATACGTTTTAAAACTGGTATGCTCGCAAGGTTAACCTGCAAGGCTACGCGGATTTACACGTGTGTACACTGGGGCTTGGACGGGTAACTCGGGTACCCGGGTCGGGTGGGTACTGAGTAGGGCCCGGGTACCCACAGGACTACCCGGACACGGGGTTAGCCACGTGATATATTGTTTAATGACAAAAAGTATCTAGAACTCTATGGTTACACTACAAGTCACAAATGTTCGCATTTCTTTCTGACTATGCACCCATTTCTTCTGACTTTTCATATCTTTGAATAAAGATATAACTTGAGTCAACTTCAGTGTATGCATGACTAGATTAGTAGATTTAGTAGATGTATCTAAATACGTTTTACCAGGGCTATGGTATAAGAATTCCCAGTCGGACATTTTGTACTTATTTCTTGAGACCTACAGTGGGTACCCGGGTAGGGTCGGGTAATAGGGGGGTAGGTACCCGGGTAGTAAATTTGGACTCGTCCAAGCCCTAATATACACCCGTCATTACGTTCACACCCCCATAAACGCAAAATAATACGGAAGTCAATTCTGAGAAATACAGGACTGTATAACATGTATTCGTACATCTTTCCATCCTCATGTGCCCGTGGACCGCCTCCGTGGTCTAATGGTAGAGCGTCCGCCCGGAGAGCGGAAGGTCCGGGGTTCGATCCCCAGCCGCGTCATACCAAAAGACGTTAAAAGATGGTACTTGTTGTTACCCTGTCTGGCGCTCGGCATTAAGGGGCTAAAACAAGGACTGGTCGGCTCGGAGTCAGTATATTGTGTCTGAGTGGGGTATTCATGTTAAACTGCGGCATGGTATCTCAGTGTGCTAGCACTATAAATCGGCATCAGTCCTGACTAGTACAAGCAGTCACACACACACATACACGTGCATACACGTCGCTATATAAGTGCAATAATCTTGGACGCGACGTTAAACCCCATAACACCTCATGTGCCCGTGTTTCTATTTGACAGGTCTCCTTCACCTGGAGATAACCAACCAGTTTCCAGTTTCTGCTCTCAACAGGTGTTATCCATAACGGAAATCCGGTGTGTAGCACGTGGACATCAACTAAAATATTTTATTTGAATGTTGCGTTTGTTTTTTCTATGAGTATCTACCGATAATCTCACCGGTGACCACGAGACCGGCTGTTTTATATTCAGGCGAGGATCGAGTCTGGGATGTCATTCTCAGGTTATCCAGAAGAAATGTGTGTGTGTCTGCTTGTACATGTTTGATTTGCATTTCTTAGATTTGTTTTTGTCTTGTTTAACGCCGCACTCAGCAATATTCCAGCTATATGACGGCGGTCTGTAAATAATCGAGTCTGGACCAGACGATCCATTGATTAATATCATGAGCATCGATATGCGCAATTGGGATACGATGACATGAATCAACCAAGTCAGCGAGCCTGACCATCCGATCCCGTTAGTCGCCTTTTACGACAAGCATAGCCGCCTTTTATGGCAAGCATGGGTTGCTGAAGACCTATTCTTCCCTGGATCTTCACGGGTCGCATTTCTTAGAAGTTGACGGATGACAAAGTGGACACAATTTTTTGGATAACAATTTTGCTTGTACTTGTGCGGACTAATGCCGGTTTCATAGTGCTAGCCCACTGAAATACCATGCCGCAGTTTAACATGGACACCCCGCTCAGACACAATATACGGACTCTGACAAGTCCTTGTTTTAGCCCCTCAATGTCGAGCGCCAGACAGGGTAATTCGAGTAGTGCACAATTGATGTTGGTGCCAGAATCCTACACTACTAAAGAAACTAAAAATCACCGCGGTAGGGCACAACCACGTGCAACGGAAGAATCCATTTTCATTGAACCATTTTCATTGAACCGGGAACTGCAGTGGAGTGTGTGTGGCACGGTTGGTTGTTGGTTGGTTGGTTTGTTGTTTAACGCCGCACTCAGCAATATTCCAGCTATATGACGGCGGTCTGTAAATAATCGAGTCTGGACCAGACAATCCAGTGATTGACATCATGAGCATCGATCCACGCAATTGGGATACAATGACATGCATCAACCCAGTCAGCGAGCCTGACCACCCGATCCGGTTAGTCGCCTCTTACGACAACATGGTCGCCTGTAACGGCAAGCATGGGTTGCTGAAGATATATTCTACCCCAGATCTTCATGGGTCACATTGACTGTAAAACTGTCTTAGATATCAATCGTTGATTTGTTTGTGCCGGTGTCACGAAATATATTCGCCCCCAGAATAAAATCTCCCCCCGGCGAATTTATACCGGTACAGTTCCGCCCCTCTCGAAATAAACTCTCCCCGACCCTACGAAATAAAATCTCCCCCCAGAATATTTCCTCCCCCGGTCGTTTTATAAATACTTGCCATGCAGTTGCCAATAGTTTTAATGTTAATTTGTTTATGTGTTTTTTTATTCATTTTTTTTTTTATGTCCTTTATTTTTTCTGAATTATACATTTAGTTACTTGTGTGGGGTGTGGTGGGGGGTGGGGGGTGTCCCACCTTTCCTTTCGTTTTTCATAATAATATATTTTTAAGTTGTATATAACGTATGAATCCCTTCTCAGATTACTTTATCTCAGTTCTATATGACGTACTATTTTACTTTTCTGTGTCGTTCTTGTTTTCTCTTCAGTGTGAGGTTAAACTGTATCATTTTTACTATTTTGATATTTTGCAATATGTTGTGGTCATCAGTTATGCAAATCAGTTTCGGTGTGTCTTTTTAACAAGATGTTCTTCATTAATATTCACCGCCAGCCCCATTGTAACAATTACATGTACACTTTGCTTTGACGATGCCGGTTGATGTTGTTCAATACAGGTGTTTTTGAATCTATTCTACATGCTAATCATTTCGGGAAGATGATACACATTATCTATATTTTGGGTTACTTTGCTTATAAAGATTATACATGTAAACGTACGCAGTCTTAGTAGATTTTAAAGTAGATTTAATCAGTGCTGAATTAGATAGTTATGATGTTGTATGTTTAACAGAAACCTGGTTGCACCATGATATTCTAGCCCCTGGTATTACACTGATACCATTTTCAAATGGTAGCCTGTATTAAGGAATATATTTCAGATCTTTAATCAGAGTATAACGGCGTGGATATGTTGACAGTTTTTACGTAGTTAGTGTTAAAACCGAATGTTTGCGAGGATTAATAAGATCTCTGAAATCAGTTACCCCCCCCCCCCCCCCCACCCACCCCTCCCGGCGAATTTATACCGGTACAGTTCAGCCCCTCTCGAAATAAACTCTCCCCCACCCTACGAAATAAAATCTCGTAGGGATTTTTATAAATACTTGTGTTTGGCTTGTGTTGGGTCCGAAAGTTTATAGCTAACATTTTGGAATTGAAGACAGTGATAAAGTCTTATATCAATATGTGGACTCATAAATATTGGTTTTATGTTTTAACGGAGATATGATATTTTCTCATGAAATATCGCGTAATAGAGTAATTTGCATGCTTTACCATTCATTGTACCATTCTAAACCATGTGAATGTTGTATGTCAGTCAATCGGATGAGAAAACAGCCCAATCCTCGCTCTGTAAAGGACTATGTCAATCATTTTGCAAGTTGAAATGACCCCTGATACTTTATGAATACTTTATGACAGTTTATGGAGTCAAAATCAATGCTGATTAGTCAAACCGCTATGTTGGGCTTACCATGCGGTTCAAGATAATCGAGCACTGTTCGACTTGTTTTTAGCCGAGCGGCCCTAACAGCGCCAATGGAAATACTACACCATAAATGAACTGTTTCGATTTGCGCGGTTTCACCAACCGTTCAAGATAACTAATACTCTCTGTCAATGTGTTCAACGTGTAAATGCATTTCATACCTGATAAACTGACATGGTCCCAGCTGGCAAACAAGACTTCTAAGAGCTTACTGTTTCGGCATAACTTCATCTATTCATCGGAGGCAACAGATTTTTGCAAACAATTGCGTCATCACTGATTTTCAGTGATCCATTAATATATTTGTACCGCTATTGTCAACGTTCACGCCAAAAGGATTTTTTTCGTTGGAAAATCGAACTTGGTTATTCTCTAGCATTGATGTTTCACATTTCTATGGTTGTTTACGTTATGAGTATTGGTTGATAACAACATCTGGTGTCACATGACACAAAATAATATGTGTATGCCTGAAGTAGATAATATTTTATTCAGGAAATAATAGCTAGAATGGGTTACCCGAACAGACTAAATGGTTATATTTCCCTTTAATATATAACAGTGTTTCAACACACAAAAATGTTAAACAAACACACGTTTGTGTTTACCGTTATGCTTGCCCATGTAGCCGTCGTATACATGTAAATATATAAATGTTGTGTACAGTCATGGGTGGAATTGAATACAATATTGAAATAAGGAACGTGTTCATGAGGCGAGACATTCAAAACAATATACAATCTAAAGTGTTGAATATCTTCTTTGGTTGACTACAAACTACAGTTTTTACACGTGCACATACCTTAGCTACATCATAAATAATATATATTTCATATTTTTTTGTTATCTATAAATACCCACATCTAAAATCAACCAACATCCCAGAAATACAATTTCACGTAGTTAAAATTATAAATCTACTCAATAGAATACAAATGGATCCCAGAACGATGCTTGATTTCAGGACCAAAACTTAGGCAATCTAGACTTGTCAAATCATTCTTTACTTGGAGTCCGTTTCAAATATATTCTCTAGGATCTGGGGACAGATAGAGTAACACATAGTCAATGAAAACATTTCTTTAAAATATATTTTTTTTATTCGGAAGAACCTTTCTCCTTCTGCTGTTATGGAATCAACTAAACTAGACTTGGTTAGTGTGATCTAGACTTGCCTAGGAATTTAGTAAAACAGAATACCTAAAAAATATAAATTCCACAGTCATGGCGCAGGACCAGGCCTAGGAGACAGACTACCGCGTGAATATTGCATTGAGAACTGACGGAATCCCGCTAGGGTCAGCCTGGGCCAAGTGTAATCGGATATGTTGCTAGGTCTCGAGTTTGAACTGTTGGCATAATAGAACAAGCTTGGGCACAGTGGTGCAATAAATGGGTTAGTTTTCTTCCGGGATTGTTAATGTAGAGATTAAAGCATTATCATCGCACAATTTGTCTGTTTTAAAAAGAAAATGTGCTATTGTGATTTCATATTCATAATAATGCTACGCTGTACCAGTACATGGATATTACTTGCTTGTACGCGAGGTACATTGATAACGTATGCTTGTAAAGGCTGGCATGGGACTCGGTGTAGCCGGTGTTGGTTTACTATCAACTATAATCGCCACGCCTATCGTACTTGACATGGAAATAGCGCTGGAGTCTCTGGACTGGCAGGAATAGCGATAAAATTTATTTCTCGTAAGTTGCCAAAGAAAGCATTAAAACATGATAATATTCGGATACTCGCCGAATGAGTGAGTGAGTTGGGTTTAACGCCGCTTTTAACAGTATTCCAGTTACATCACGGCGTGTCAGCTTAATGTGGGAGGAAAGCCCGAAGTGATGCAGGTCTCAGACGTTTAGCACTTCGGTGAAACCTACGAGCACGGGTATGGTGCTGACAAACCTAGAAACATAATCGGGGCGAAGCGGGATTCGAACCCACAATCATAGGTTTCTGGCGTGCCCAAGGGACGCAACTCTGCACAGCGAATCGCGGCGCCTTAGACGACTGGGCCACCCGTGCCCCCGATACTCGCCGAAGCAAAGTTGAACAGCATTGAGGATCATATTTCAACAGCACTGGCTGATTGTAAGATATCCGAGGAGGATTTTCGTTCAGTGTTGTCAGAACTCACCAAATACAACACAATAAAGCAAGAGATTCGATCTTAATATCGTAAGATCAGTGGTATTAGCGAAGACGAGAAAAAAAGTACATGGAACAGGGGACACAAGCGCGTCAATTATTCCGTGCCAAAACCAAAGAACTGGTTGGAGATTAAAAATAGATTGTTTCCTATCATTGGATCGCACCGCATAACAAATCATACATTCATTTAAACGAATGCTTACATAAATATATAATAATGGAGAA